CCTCGTGAGTAAAACCAAGAAACTTACGACTAGCAAATAGTGTCTGCTAAACATAAAATACTGAATGACCACGATTAGGAAGTGCGCTCCGACGGTGAAACTTGAATGACAAACTAGGAGTGCGTCTCCTACGGGTGGAAATACTCCAATTTAGGAAGTCCGTCTCCTAAACCAAAATATAACTTGAAAGACCTAGACTAGGAAGTGCGTCTCCTATGAATGAACTCAAATGACCCAAACTAGGAAGTGCGTTTTCTAGGAGAAAAATCTTAATTTAGGAAGTGCGTCTCCTAAAGGTATATCCTGAAAAACCCATACTAGGAAGTGCGTCTCCTAGGGGTGAAACTTCAATGACTCAAACTAGGAAGTGCGTCTCCTAGGAATGAACTTAAATGACCCAAAACTAGGAAGTGCGTCTCCTAGGGGTAAAATCTCAATTTAGGAAGTGCGTCTCTAAAAAGTGTATCCTGAAAGACCGAACTAGAAAGTGCGTCTCCTAGGGGTGAAACTTCAATGACTCAGACTAGGAAGTGCGTCTCCTAGGAATGAACTTAAATGACCCAAAACTAGGAAGTGCGTCTCCTAGGGGTGAAACTTCAATGACTCAAATTAGGAAGTGCGTCTCCTAGGAATGAACTTAAATGACCCAAAACTAGGAAGTGAGTCTCCTAGGGGTAAAATCTCAATTTAGGAAGTGCGTCTCCTAAAGCAAAAATATAACCTGAAAGACCCAGACTAGGAAGTGCGTCTCCTAGGGGTGAAACTTCAATGACTCAAATTAGGAAGTGCGTCTCCTAGGAATGAACTTAAATGACCCAAAACTAGGAAGTGCATCTCCTAGGGGTGAAACTTCAATGACTCAAACTAGGAAGTGCGTCTCCTAGGAATGAACTTAAATGACTCAAACTAGGAAGTGCGTCTCCTAGGGATGAACTTAAATGACCCAAAACTAGGAAGTGTGTCTCCTAGATTTGAGATTGAGCTTGAGGATAACTAAAAACGGAGCTTGACTTGACTAAAAATTGACCCTATTCTCCAGGCGGGACCCCTGAACTTAAGAAAAACTAAGACTAACATGTTAAGGAAAATTAAAAAAAGCTGACCACATTCTCCAGGCGGGACCCTTGAACTTAAAAAAACTAAAGACGGACAACTGAAGGAAACTAAAACTGACCCTATTCTCCAGGCAGGACTACTGAACTAAATGAAAACTAAAGATTAACAACTTAAGAAAAATTAAAACTTACCCTATTCTCCAAGCGGGACCCCTGAAATTAAGGAAACTAGAGACTATCAACTTAAAAAAATTAAAACTGGCTCTATTTTCCAGGCGGGACCATTGATCATAAGAAAACCAAATATTCTTCACAACTAAGGAGATGTCTAGGAGGCATGGTTCTTCTCAACTAGGGCAAATTCTTGAGAGATGATGATCTTCTCAACTAGGGGGGATGCCTATGAGGTAAAAAAAACATTCTCAAACAGCCTTTGTGCTAACAAAATTGGGCATGACACTTGAGAGGTTCAAGCTTCCAAGATTTGATTTGGACACCGTCTCCGTCCCTGTTTCAAACAAAGAAAACTTGTGAGTTTAAACATGGTGGTTGGTTTGTGGCCTTGACTTTGAGGGCGATTGCTCCTTTCACTTCCCATGATAACTTTGATTTCAACTTGAAAGACCTTGCTTGTTTATTGACTAACCACTTCCTCTGTCACCCTGCTCACAGAAAACACCTCTGATCCATTCAAACCCAATACCCTTTATCTGTTGCATTATGCTCATAAATTAACATATACCGAACCTTTGCATTTCACATGAATCCCAAAGCACGTCAATTGCCACCCACTCAGTGTGCATACTGTTCTTTCCTGACTTATGCCACTTTGATGTGCAAACCAGATTCTGTTCGATGCAATTGGAAAGCTGGTAGCAAATTTTGAAGTCATTTCTCACTTGTTCTGACCAAACAGACTCAAGAAAAGGAAGTAAACCGAACAAAAGGAACAGAGTAAGGGACAATGGAAAGAGATGATGCCTAACAAGAAAATTACAAAGTAGAAACTTATCATATGTGGACACCAACTCTAATGACCATGACATGCACCTTTGGATTAAGTGGCCTAATCTGTCAAGCAAGTCTAATGTTCAACTCTTGTCGAACCTCTGAGTCGTGAAACTGGGCTTCAATGCTCTGATTATCCCATCTGATTCACGGTCCCTATTCGACTTGTAGTGCCCGAAGGATTTTCACCATCCAGGCTCTCTTATTTTGCTCTTTCTCTCAACTCATCATCACCTTATGGTGCCTGTGAAGGTTTTCACTGATAAGACTCTCTAATTTTGTTCTTTTTCTTTTTACTTCCTCTGATTCTGTAGATGACAAGGCATTGACTACAGTAAAAACAACATATGCTCCTGGCATGTCTAGCCCGACACTCTCAAAGATTATCTGGGAGGTCTTTTTTGGACTGTAATGTGGCTTTTTGATAGGGTTAGAAAGAAAGGATATCATAGAGGCTCAAAATAACTAAGACAATGGGGTTAATTTATTTACAACTTTTGGAATCAATTCTAAAAACTTTGCCCCAATTTTTAAAACAAAGGAATTTGAATCTATTTTTCCTTTTTTTTTGAGATGGAATTTCTAAGAGAGACTGTCCTACTCTCGACTTCCTGGGATTATGAAATATTTTATTTGGTGCGACCGAACCGTAAGGCTGCCTAGGTATCTTGTGGTGACAAGAATCAGGTCAAACGTAGTTCACACTAATTCTTGTTTTGTCTTTTGTTGCTCTTTATCTTTTCTTTTTTTTTCTTTTTTTTTTTTGAATGAAGTTTCTAAAACAAATCTATGGGGACATGAACTCTTTTTTTTTTCCGTATGGCTCTAACTTGATTCCAAAAGAGGGGAGGTCAAAGAAAATTAGCATAGGCTCAAAAGGGGTACCGAATTGTATAAAGTGTTTTGGTAGCTGAAAGAGGGCCTCCCAATCCATGAAAATGCCAAGTACAACACATGCAATTTTGAAAATGACAAAGGAAGATCATGCACAACATTTCTTTTGCAGCTTCGGCACTGATATCACTGATATGCTTTCCACCCTTTTTTTAGTTCCTTGTCAAGTACAGAACTCTCGTTGGGTAATTTCTTCTTCACAATAGATACCCTCCGTCTGTTCGGAGCAAACTCCCTTGACTTTATCTTGTTACTTGAGATGCACTTGAACTCAAAGTTGCTCGCTTCACATTGTCCGGGATGCACTCTCTTGTAACAAATTCTTACCACCCTATTAACTCCCCAAATTATCTTCCCCAGTTTCTCACAGTTCGGGCTTTAAATGATCTCAAAATGTCCAAATCTGTACTTCCCTCAAATGTCTATATTATCTTCAAAATTGTTTCATTGCTTCATGATTAGACTAAATTTTAAGACCAGGCTGAGAATTACGCGTGCATGTCATGTCACTAGAATCCGCATGAAGAGACTATAAAAGGAAAAGAGAACTAAACAAAAACTGACTAGAAATAGCAGAAAACAGAACATTGCATTAGACAGACGGTGAAAGGGTTTGAACAACAAAACAAGAAAAATACACTGGGTTACAACCCTGGAAAAACCTAAATAACACTAAACGAGCTACTTACGACTGAACAAACTAGGCAAAATAAAAGGATAGAGGGGTTTGAGTCACAAGACAATATCCGGATTACAACCCTTAAATAACCCAGACAACAGAAATGACAACAAAATAAACCACCGGGACTCCTCCCCGGGTAACCAATAAGGGAGCGTCTTTCCAATTACCAAGCTCGACATCTTAGCCACTGAGTTCCGCACTAACATTACTAGGACCTTCACAAGTCTCCATCACATTGACCTTAGCAAATTGCTTTTGGGTCCCTTTTGCCAACTCGTTCTTAAGATCAACTTCTGGAACCGAGACTGATAGCGCTGAAAACTTTGCAGCAAGTGGCCTTCCAAGAAACTCATAAGAGTTTTCATATTCCTTTTCAACACAAATCATGCCCACCATATGCGTATCATTATGAACGGGCAATGGTCTTTGGCTAGTATCCGCTGCATCTGGATTTTGCACGGTAATGTCACCTGCATCATTAAGCTTTTGGATTGCTCTTTTCAGATGCCAACACTTTTCTATACTGTGCCCCGGGGCATTAGAGCAATATGCTCACCTTTGAGAAAAATCAAAATTCTTTGGAATGTGGTTCGGCCTTTTTATCTGAATCGGCTTCAACATGTCCAATTGCCTCAACCTTTGGAACAAACTAGCATATGAATCTCCAAGATGAGTGAAAGACTTTTCTCTTTGCTGCTGCCTTTTCATTTTGTACTCTGGCCTCGGTTGGAACCTCTTGCGGGTAGGTGGTTGACATGCTTGAGGAGGCGGGTAAGATATTTGTGGAGGTGGTGCAGGCCATTGCGGGTCTCGTGGGTGTGGAGCATATGGCGGTGCATTGTGGATAGAGTACTGGGAAGGTGAGGTATGACCTTGGGGATTTTGTGGAGGAAAATAACACTGAGAAGGATTATCTGGAGTACGAGGATATTCATGGGGTCGGTATTGAGATTGAAAGCGTTTACCAGGAATGCCCACTGGATCCTGTCGTTGGCGGGGCTCAGCAATATCTTTTCTATCAATCGGAGAACTTACCCGAGCAACTTGTTCGTTCCATCTGAGCCAAACTCCCTAAAACTTCCCTCGGGTTTCTTTTCCATCTGAGATAGGGAAGAGTGGTCTGGGATAATATCTACATTGTACTGATAGTGCCGAAAAAAATCTTGAGCCATGTCACCCCATGCATGCCACGTACTGACATCTTGACGAGTAAACCACTCCAAGGCTTCCCCACTCAAACTCTCACTGAAATATGCCATCAACAATTCATCTTTCCCGCAAACACTTCTCATTTCACTGCAATAACCCCTTAGATGGGCTGCTGGATCTCCCCGCCCATCATACAAATCAAACTTTGGCATCTTAAACCCGGCAGGCAGCTGGATGTCAGGAAACAAGCACAAGTCTTTGTAAGACACACTCATCTGGCTCCCTATCCCTTGCATGTTTCTTAAAGACTGCTCTAAGATTTTCACTTTCCTGGATATCTCATCTTGCTCTACCGTCTTAGCAGGCTTTTCAGTTTCACCAGGAGGCTCAAAATTAGGAGCGTAAGAGTATGGATCCGAGACTATGAAAGTTGGTTCTGGGGCATAGTGTTGGGCATCGGGAACTTTGAACACAGTCTCGCTAGAGGGTCGAGAAAAAGTAACTGGTGGAGGAGCTACAAAAACATGAGTGGCATAAGGAGCGGGATATGAGGTGGTTTTGCGGGTGGAGTGTGAAAATGTTGTGGGGGAGATATCAGCAGCAGTAGGAAGCTAGATTTGCGACAGTGGCAGAATGGTGACAAGGCTTTCAGTATAGTTAGCGGGAACTGATGGTGGAGGACGCCCACTAATCCAGGCTTGGTATATTTCGGCCATCTGTCCTTTCAACCTTAAGATCTCTTCTTTCAACTCAGATTCTGATTCAACAATCTCCTTAGACGGATCAATAACACTCGTGTCCAAGTCTTTGCTAGCCATGGCTACCTTGCTCTTTGACCTTGTGTTGTATGGATGAGTTACCTTAAGAACCACAAACCAACCACCCTTCTGCTCAATGAAGATAACAAAAAAGGAACAAAATGAGGTCATCACGTTAGCGTTAGGGCACTTAACATAAGATAATCTCACATTATGTGCAATGCACCTAGTCACAGTTATCGGTTCTAAATGACTTCGAGGGTATGAAGGTCATATGGCATCATCCCAATTTCACTCTTTTTGCCCCAGTTCCTTCTTCATTTTTCTTTCTAGCACCGCTTGGTTTTTCATTTCCTTCCCTCTCTTTTCTTTCTGATTATCGCTCATTTCTTTCCTCTCATTTCTCACGTGCCACAACTTCATTCTCTTTTTTTCTTTTTCTCTTTTGTTTTTTTTTGTTTTTGCTTTTTTTTGTTTTTTTTTGTTTTTTTTTTTGTTTTTGCTTTTTATTTAATGATGATTCGATCGAACCCTATGTAAGTTTCCTATGTATCATGTCCCTCATGAATCAGATCAAGCGTAGTTCTGGAAGATCGGGAATAAAGTAAACAAACTAACGTTCTCTTTTTTTTTTACCTTAATGACTACTCTTACGAGAAAAAGAAGAAAATCTCTCTTTTTTTTAGACTTAACATTCTATAATCTATTCTAAACTCAATCTTAAACGAGCATATATTTTTCTTTTTTTTTTGAAACAGATACTCTATGAGAAATTATTAAGGAAAAAAAAACCCAAGAAGAGAAAAATAATTTTTTGATTCTTTTTTTTAGGAAGGAAATCTAAAGAAAATGGTAACACAATTAAATTTGATTATGGGACTCTAAAAATACGTGATCTATTTTTATGCTGGTTGTTAAACAGTTGATGCTATGTATGAGATTTAGAAACGAGATAAGAGTTAGGAATAAGGTGATAACCAAACCGATAGGTTAACAATCGGGGCCTCGAGCCTGTCGATCCGGGGCCTCGAGGTCGATTCCGGCATCGACGGGGAGCTATCGAAGGCAGCTGAAGAGCGACTAACAGTTATAATAAAATCAATGAAGGCTCTTTATGTCCAATGATAAGCAATAAATGATGAACAACAGTGAAGATAATAAATGGAAGCAATAATATCAAGAGAATATATTAGAGAGCGGAGAGAATGTTCTTGTGTATTTAGTATGGAGCAACAGGATCCCTACAATATGGAAAGGATCCCCTTTATATAGGGGAATCCCAACATAGTACAAAATTCATTAATTACAAAGATATGGAGATGGGACAGCTAGATGATGCCCTGATTCGGGTTTAGAGTAGCCCACTAGACTTAGTCAGCCCTAGCTGTGTGCCTTGGGAACTCCCCGTTTCTACCATAGCCGGGGTCAACATTATCCCAAGGTCGAGTGTCGACGAACCTCGAGGGAGGAAACTCAACCGTAGCCTTGTAGCCTCGAGCCTTCGAGATGATCTTCTACGGTGCCTCGATGACGAGGAATTGGACCCTCCGATTTCACCGTATACAGATAGTCCCCGTATTTTTTGTAGTAGAACGATAAGAAACGATTTTGACATCCAACTCTTCGGACTTCCCGTGATGATGTCATATTGATGATATCACACTTATGATGTAAGCCTTCACGATAACCGGGGTGTCCCATGGACTTGTCTTTTCAGCGTCGTTCAATGCGCTGCCAATTCCCATTCTTCAAAGCAACAATACCGCTGTTGATTCAGTTTTCAATAACGCATTGATTGCGCCTGCCGATCCGTCTTTCAAAGGCATTGATGGCGTTGTCGGTCATAGTATCACCCGCTATAAATGGGGGCCTTCTGGTACCATCTTTTTATCCAAGTGCCTTTCAACATCTTTCCATCCCTTTCTTCTCACCATCCTCCTTCATTGCTACCCACCATGTTTGGGGTCCACGGCCTTACGGTTACATGGTGGCATTCTCATCAACCACGCCATGGCCTTTTGCCTGGGCTTCCCCTTGCCGAGCGAGATTATACTGTCTTGTCGCTGTTGTTGTTATTATGGTTGTTACTGCTGTCGTCGTTGGCTCGAGGTGATGAGATAGGGGGGCCGACTTCTTCTGACTTAGGAGGACATTTGGACTCTACACCGCTACTCGAGAGAGCATTCGGACTATACACCGCTGCTCGGGGGAGCGTTCGGACTATACACTGCTGCTCACTCTCCTACCCTGGCCTGGTGTGGCACTTCATCCCCTTAGCTTTCCAAGGGATGAAATGGCACAACCGACCACTAAACTTGCACGGCACACTGTCCCAGAAGGCGGACTTGAAGCAGTCGTGCAAGTAGGGTTGGCGCTCGCCGAATCCTCTATTTCTGGCTTCGGTGGGCTATGTCTCTTTTTTCTGCTTTTTCTGCGTCACTTTCCTCTTCTTCATCTTCTCCCTCGGAGATATTATTCTGGATGACCGAGATGAGACCCCAGAGGAGGTGGCGGTCGAAGATATTTCCGTCGAGGATACATGCCCGAGGAGATGGTGCTCGAAGATGCTGCCACTGCGGATGACCTTCAAGAATAGATTAGGCTCTTGTCTTTTACTATATGTGTACCCTTTTGCTTCTTTGTTTCTGTGTAAGGACCCCTCGTGGGCTTTACTAATCATATTTTAATGAATATAAAGATGTTTCTCCAATTTTGTCTTCGATGCCTGCTATATTTTTTTTATTCGCTATATAGAGACTCAGAGTGCGTGACTCTGCCGGTTGGTGCCAATATCGAGCCCAGATGTGAGTATTTTTTCCTGGCTTTTGATTGATTAATACGGCTTCCTGTGGAACCCTTCGTTTTTCCTTGGATCGAGCCTGGATTGGACCGATAAACTCGGGTCGTCGGGGCCTTGACTTCGAGTTGAAAAGAAAATAGTGTTTCGAGCCTTGAGACCGAGATTTACCATTTAGACCCATGGTAATCTTTGAGGGGAAATTTGCTCGGAGGCCCGAGGATAGGGACTGCCTTTAAGCTTTCAAGGGCAGTCCCCGAGTGGGGGTTCGTTCAAACCCGGGCCACCTGGAAACTTGCTTTGAACTTAGCGTAAATAGCCTTAAGTGCTTATTTCCTTCTTGAGAGGAGACTTTGAGGTTGGGTACTATCCTGAGTTTTGTGATGATGCCAATAGCTTCTTGGAGCCTAACTTCTTTTTGATGGAGGTCCTCGAGGTCGTGTACCACCTCGGGACTTGCGACGATGCCGTTGGCATCTTGGAGCCTAACTTCTTTTTGATGGAGGTCCTCAAGGTCGGGTACCACCTCGGGACTTGCGACGATGCCGTTGGCATCTTGGAGCTAACTTCTTTTTGATGGGGGCCCTCGAGGTCGGGTACAACCTCGGTACTTGCAGCGGTACGGGGATCTTTGGCCCCAAATGATCACGTGGCATCGCCTAATGCACGATATGGCTGCAAAGCTATCGAGGTGATCCCGCCGGCACAGCTTCCCGCAGTGATATCGGCTAGTGTTTTTAATCGGCCCCTGAGGCAGGCGGATCGTCGCCGTTTAATCCATATATAGGGTTGTTTATGCTTTTTTGGAGATCCCACCATTCTAAGTAGCTACCTTTCTTTCCCTGCGTTATTCTAGGTTTAAACCTGGGTTTGTGTTCTAGACCTGGCTTACCCGAGCGGACAGCTCGAGCCGAGGTGGGGGCAACGTACCGGGAGCGTGAAAGTCTACCCGGCCTAGTTACTGACCCAGCCTCGTTCTATTTGGTATGACTTCTAACAAAAAAGTGGGCCACGCGTACGTGTGCACCATATTTTTAGAAGACTCAGTAGGGAGGCGTAAGAAAACATTTTAATACAGTTCAAATAATATCAAAGCGGTAAATAAACGGCAATCAGCACATTAGGTCCACAAAATACAGTAATATCAACAATAAATAAAGCCAAGTAAAAATCATATTAACAAGCTCGAATTCTTGAACCCTGAACCGGAGATTCTGGGTTCTTGTCCCCAGTAGAGTCGCCAGAGCTGTCACACCTCCTTTTTCTACCCGAAAGAGGTATAAGGGAGTTTTCCAATTAAAGTGACAATAATCGAAAAGGCATTATTTATTCATATTCAGAGTCGCCACTTGGGATAATTTATGGTGTCCCAAGTCACCGGTTTAAAATCTCGAATCGAGGAAGTTTGATTCTGTTTTACAGTCCGCGAAATACAGAAATCCGGGTAAGAAATTCTGTTAACGCGAGAGAAGGTGTTAGGCATTCCCGAGTTCCGTAGTTTTAGCACGGTGGCTTTAATCATACTTGGCTTAAGTAAATTGTTTAGTTATGTACTTTAGAACCTATGTGAATTTACCCTTTTTAACCGCTTTTAATAGCTTGATTATTCGTAATTAAGGAGTTAAAAGTGAGTCACGCGTACGTGTACTCGTTTAGTTTGGCGCGTCAAAAATCATGTCACGCGTACATGTCCATAATTAATAATTCTTTGTTATTTAAGAAAAGCTTGGCCAAAGTTGCGCGAACGCATACCATTAATTTATTTTGTATCGTAACCATGTCACGTGTACGTGTGCATAATCGCGATAATTGATTTATTAATACCTGCCTAAAGTATACTAGCTATGTATAGTTATTGAACATATAGGCCAAAGACAGTTTTTAATTCTTGTTAGTCTCATCAACCCAAATTCTATTCAAACTAAATTCGTTACTTTACTGGGTCAATACAGCAGAACAAAGCCAAACCTCTATTCGCTCCTATTAGTACCAACTCCACAGATCCGATTTACCCAATTCAACAATTTATATTAAACGTTCATTATCTTACCTAAATGATGAACAACAGACAACAGTTAAACATTTAAACTAAACTACAACAAAGCAATTATAACAAAGCAGAATCACAACAAAGCAATACAAGTAAAAACTATATTAATCACCAAAGGAAATTAAAACGGAAGCTAAGGCATGATAAAATGACTAAGCATCAAATATCCAATGAACCCATCATATTCCAAGATAAAAAAAACAGTGAGAACAATGAAGGGATAGAAATAGACCTTAAAACAAAGTAATTTTGAATCTGAAAATGTTTAACTCCGAAAAATTTGGACAGCGACAAACTCGATGGAACCGCAAATCTGCCTGAAAAACCTCGAACAGAAAACCTCAAAACGGCCACCTCGAATGGGAGCGAATTTCAACTCAACTACGTCTTCAAATAATTGAAAGAAAACTTCTGAAAATGAGCCAAACAAAACTCGAACCAAGTTCGTATAAGGAATTCAAAATGCTCAATCATTTCCTTTGCCCTTTTCCAGTCACTGGGCGTCGTTAGAGGTGAGTAGGCGAAGAAATCTCATGGAACAATCATATTAGACCAAACTCAACAGTAGTAGAAACGGGAAAAGTCGTCGGATTTCGATTCTCCGGCCATATTCCGATGAAACTTCGGCGAGGTGGATTTTTAGTTATTCTTTCTATTCTCCTTTTCTTTAGGTTGTGTGGCTGCTGAGAACGGGAAAGAAGAAGAACGGCGACGGGCGGTCTTTGTGTTAGGCTGCTGATGGCTGCTGGATTTCGGGGTGTGTTCGACGGTGGAAGGATTGTGGCTGTTTGCTTGGTGAAGGAGATGAGGGGTCGCCAATTTTGGTGGGGGTGACGGATGGGCTTGGGGTTCGAAATGGGGAGGGTGGAAACGGTTTGAAGAAGAAGAAAAGTCACTGGTTGAGGGCTGGTGGTGGCTATGGTCGTTTAGTGTCGAGGTCGGGTGCGGCTGTTGTTGTGTGTTCTAGGGTTGCTGGAGAAGATGGATCAATCTGGTTGTTCTGGAGTAGGGAGATGGCGGAGGCGGGGATCGATCTGGTTGTTGTGAGGTGGTCTTTAGTGGTCTCTAGGTTGAAGAAGATGAAGAAGCTAAGGGTGTTCATGGGTTCATGGAAAACAGCTGATCTCTGTTTTCTAGGTCCACGGTTCTTTTTAGGTTGTATCTAGATTTTCTAGGGTTTTAGGGGTATTGGGCTTAGGAACGATGGGCTAGGTCCGAAAATTAGGCGTTAAAATTGGGCCAAAGTCTAAAAAATGAACTACAAAACTAATTAAAATGGGATAAGCCGACCCAAAACTCACTCTTCCTTCTAAAATTATATAAAATTTATAATACAAAAATATAAAACTAATCTTAATTAATTAAAATAAATAATATTATATTGTGAGACTATTTTGGTATTTTTCAAGATTATATAAAAATAAAAATCCTAGTAAAATAATATGACTACAAAACATCAATGAAACAATATTTTTTTTGTAAATTTCATTTTTGTGACAAAATAAAATAAAAGAGTCAAAACTAGTTGAAATAACTATATTAGACCTAAAATAAATATTTAAATGCTAAAAATATGTAAAATCTTGGGGAAGGTCAAAAATTACATGTCTACAGCCGAAACGATGGCAGCCGCATCAACATTAAAGTTATACTCTAACAATCGTGGTGCCTCTTTGGGTCCCATAGATCTATCGAAGCCGTTCTTGCTCATGAGACCCTGTGAGCTTGAACCTAGATCATTTCTTCTTTCATTTCGTGCAGAGTTTCACCCAGATTCGTTGTTCCTACGGTCTCCATTATATGGTTGATATCAATCTCTATTCGACCTTGGTTCTCGGTCGATATCCCTCTTGATTCTATCGACGGGTCTGATAGGATAAATAGACCTAGAAGGAGCCCCCAGTTGATCATCCTCGACCCTGATCTTCGACTGATACGGATTGTGCATATCGGCCCAAGTGACGACTGATATTCAATCA